TACTCAAAACGCTAGTTTTTGTTCAGTCCTGAGTTCTGCAAACTCGTGATTCCTCTCATTATAATGAACAAAGTGTAGGCACAATGTAAATAAGAAATTAGGCTAATTGTGCCATGTAGAGAGATTCATTGATTATAACGGAATTTTCTGACATTACGATAAACTGAAATGAGTGACAGCTTTTTAGTGATTAAGGGAGCGCTCTTTGCATGCTTTCTTGGCTATATATAGTCCATTCAGAATTTGAATAAAAGTTTTGTTTTTCATGCTGCTAAGAGGACCAATGTGGCGTAAATGCTGCAAAGTTTCTGAGGTGCAATGTCTGACATAGTGATAATCATATTAATGGACTGGACAAAATATGATATGTCAAAATAGATGTGCACGAAGGCTAAAGCACCCTCACTAATTTCAGAAGCACTGACAGTGATTTGGTTCTTGAACAGTGCCTGATCCTTCCGGAGCTCCTCCGTGGGACTCAAGACCAGTCTGTGGTGCATCTATCTATCTCTTTATATAGCCTATATATATATATATATATAAAGAGATAGATAGATGCGCCACAGACTGGTCTGTGGTCTGGTCTTTTTAAATTGACGCGACCCATATATATATATATATATATATATGGGTTGCGTCAATTTAAAAAGACAAAAATAGAGTCGCTCCAGGGGAGTGAGGTTTACTTGTGCAGCTCTTACCAGTTTGCCTCTGTTATACTCACTCCCCTGAATTTCACCCCCATCTGGGTCACGGCACCAATATAACTGGTCCTACTCACATCATGCATGAGAGGGATTCAAACAAGCATCAACTGGCACTGGAGGAGGGCAAGCTAACAGGGACGTTAAAACCAGCAGCCATTGATGCACCTCTTGGGAGTGAGGTTTACCTACACAGCTCTTACTTGCTGGCCTCTGTTGCACATTTAATCCCATCTGGGTAATGGCACCAATAAAACTGGTCTATCAACTGGCATGGGTGGTAGGTGCACTAACAAGGACACTAAAAACTAGAAAGCCTCTTGAAGCCAGGGAAGTGAGGTTTACCTGCATAGCTCTTACTAACTGGCCTATTTTACATATGCAGCAGTTCTAAAGAGATTTGAGAGCTCAACTGTCTCTGTCCCCATTCACTTCCATTGTATGGAAATGAGCAGCATGAACATTCGGTTAAATATTTCCTTTTGTGTTCCACTGAAGAAAGGCAATCATATGGGAGTGGAATGAGGGTGACTGATGACTGAATTTTCATTAAGCTGGAGTTCCTGGTCAATGGATGCTCCTACCTGTGAAAACTGTATGACTGTGAAGATTGCCATTTTATTTTGCATTCACCTTTAAGGTAAAATTAGCCTTTCTCTGGTGTCCGAGAATACAGTGTTACACTGTTCAAAACAGGCTATTAAACTTTAATTTATGCTCCTATATAGCTGATTTGCAATAACTATGTTTATGAAAACACATTTACACACATTTCTGTATAGCTCTGCTTTTAGATGCCATGGTCTCAGGATCTGCCGGTTGTAATAAACAGTAAAATACCCTTTAAAATAATAAAGGTTTCTTATTTTAAAATCTTGAGTGCTGGTTTGTAAGCTAAATATATATGTAGATTCAAAGACAAGAGATTCATAAGAAAGGAAAGTGGTCCTCAACAGTCCTTAATTTGTCAGTTTTCATATTAGAACAGATGGAATTACTCAACCCATAAAGTCAAAAATAATTTCACTACTAAAAACAGTATTAAAAGTACCTTGGTATTACCATAATGTATGTCTTTAGACATTGTACAAGGGTATTCTTGACTACCATGTAATTACCATGGTATACCAATATAGTAATCATTCAATAGCATGGTATTACTATCTAACAACCTGCAGTAGGTTGAATATATTGAGTCCAGTATTGTGTCCTGAACATCTATTCCTATAAGTGATTAAATATGTGTGACAGAGGGTCAGATTGTTGTGGTAGATAAATTCTTATTGATTCCACCGAGAGCCCTGTGCTCATAAAGGCATTGAGAGACCATGTGTGCTGCCAGTACAAGCACTGCTATTATGACCACAGCTGTAATGAATGCACTCTCAGGTTTCTATTTGAATAAAATTGGTTCAATGCCTGTATATTATTCCATGAAAAACAGGCTAAAATGTCCACAGACTTCAAGAAAGACTACAGAGAAATAATGGTCAAATGTCAACCCCATTTTATCTTTGGTATTCGCCTTATTGGGGATAACAAAAAACAGTAGATGATGTTGTTTGGTAAATGTGATTATTATTCATAAATTCTAACATTTTTTAAATACATTTATACATTTTTTAAATACATAATGTCTGATTCTACATTTATTTGATAAGCATCTCTGGAGGAACCTGACTGTAAAACATTCTAAAGGCTTTTAATAAATCACTGAAAAATTCTAACCATCTATTAAATTATATATATATATATATATCTATATAAATGACAGCAATAACCATACATATTTTTAAAAAATGTTTATTAACAAAACTTGCTATAAAAAGTAGCATTGACAATATGTGACCAAAAGTATCCAACTTAACATGAACAGAACATTTGGCTAGACAGGCAGTAAACAAAAACAGTATCAATACTGTATGGAGTGCAGGGATAGAGTAAACCTATATATCGTCATGGGAACCAGAGTGTACATCAGGTGCATTCAATGGCAAAAACATTAAACCGAAGACAGTTTAAAATAATGGCAATATAGATAAAAACAAAAATCATATAAAGCAGTTATTTTATCAAAATACAGCACAAAGAGAAACAATATTTAAATGAAGCTCAAGTCAAATACATGATAACTCAGAATAGAAGGTAAAAAAAAGATAGAATAACAAAACAGAAATAAATAGAGTTAGTAATAAAAAATTGTTGTCCTTTAAAAGATAACCCTCTTGTCTTTCTAATCTAAAAGGGGAGAGTTTTATCTGAGGTTTTATAGGATCAGTCCTTTTATCAGCCCTTTATAGGATCTAGATAAAAAGGAAGTCATATCTTGTCATATATAATATATCATCAAATGCTATCAATTGAGTCAAACTGTTCCTCGTTAAACAATCCCAGCACAATTCCATATCTAACATATTGATAAGCAGCACCTCACTCATAACATTTACTGGCATGTAACATCCCAGACTACATGTACTGGACCAGTATTAATCAGCAAATAATCATTTTCTAAAAAAAGTATTTGTCATATTTTCAAGAAAACAAAAGGTTAAATAGTGTAATAAAGATAATTAAATGTACAAAGTAAATTTAAAAATATATATGTGAAAAGATATATTCTCCAACATTTGGGGGGGAAAATATAAAAAAAAGCATAAATCTTTAAGAATAAGCCAAAACATGATAACATGCATCATTTAAAATATAAATGATAAATATTCAGGATTTATTTTCTGAAAAAATAGTCTTTGCTGTATGTAAACGTATCCTGTTTTAAGGATCTCTAGGTAAAAATTGTTTTCTTACAAAAGTAATTGTCTTGTCAAATTAAAAAAATAATTAAACCATGAATCAATCTTAAGCATAAGCTAAAACATGATAATGTGTTAAAAATAATAATAATAATAATAAAGATATATAAACTTTTATAAGATACATAAAACTTTTTTACTGGAAAATGACAAATACGGTTGAAGAAAGTGATTTTTTTGCAGTGTAGTCATATTCAGGACTAATGGTTGACTGGACGTTTGAAGCACTTGGCCTTCAAGTCATAAATCTTTTAATTAATGCCAAATATGATGTAAATACTGTATTTTAAGTCAAACTTTCTTTAAGAGATCAAAGTCAGTATATGAATCCAGTGATTTAGTATTTTGTCATACTAACTGAAATGATTGCATGTAAATGAACTTGGATTGCTATACATATCTCCAAAAATAACATTTGGGGAAGACACTTCCATCAAGTCATTTGTGAACTTATTGTGAACTGTATGAGGATTGTCTCCTAAATACCAAAAGGAGAGACTGTGTTTTTTTTTTTTTTGGTTCATAAAGACTCAGGGCTGTTCCTGTGCTCTTCATTTGGCCTTCACTGCGTGAAACACTACAGCAAGCTAATGTATGCACATGTGTAAATATAACTGCATATCTTTATGATATTGCATGTAAAGGTTGGTTCAATGTATATTTATACAGTGGCACCAAAAAATCAGAACACGTCAAGGAATAGTTCAAACAAAAATGAAAATTTGCTGAATATGTACTCACCCTCAGGCCACCCAAGATGTAGATGAGTTTGTTTCTTCATGGGAACAGATTTGGAGAAATGTAGCATTACATCACTTGCTCAGCAATGGATGCTCTGCAGTGAATGGGTGCTGTCAGAATGAGAGTCCAAACAGCTGATAAAAACATCACAATAATCCACAAGTAATCCACACCACTCCAGTCCATCAGTTATATTTAACATCAAACCAAATAAAATACAAATCCTCTATCCATTATATTGCATTTCAGTGAAAAAGTCGTCTCGTCTGAATCAGGAGAGAAATATGCACAGATCAAACAGTGTTTACAAGCAAAAACAGTTCAAAACAAATATGTGGGCGGATTTTGATGTGAGAGGACAATAATATGGTTTATGCACTCGTATTTCAACCGGAAGCAATGGTTTAAAGTTAGAAAGTCTTAATGATGGATTTGTTTCTTACAAACACGCAGCTTTTCACTTCACAGGACATTAACTGATGGAGCGGAGTGGTGTGGATTATTGTGATGTTTTTATCAGCTGTTTGGACTCTCATTCTGACGGCACCCATTCACTGCAGAGGATTTACTGGTGAGCAAGTGATGTAATGCTACATTTCTCCAAATCTGTTCCCATGAAGAAACAAACTCATCTATATCTTGGATGGCCTGAGGGTTACATAAAACATAAAAAATGTGGCATTCATTTTAAGAAAAGATTAAAGAAGCACAAAAAAGTAAATTGTGAGAAAAGATCTAGCATCATAGTTTGATGTTGTGTGTCTATGACATTCAGACATATTTAAGTGTGACCTAAGAACCCAAATACGTTTTGGGGACACTGTATAAAGATCCTGTATGTATGCAGATGTATGCATCATACTATAGATTTGAGCACATTGTGTGAAGCGAGGGTGTTTCATAGGGCCTTGGCGCTGGTGGTGTGTGTGGTGTGTGAGATGGGTTTCTGTGGGTAGCGACTGTAGTAGTACACTTGGAAGAGAATGGCGAAGTCCACGCACACCTGAAGGAGGCCGCAGATCCAGAACTGCATGGGAGCCTGAGTCAACAGGAAGTAGCCTGTCTTGAAAGTGTCTCCACTGGTCCACATCAACACCATCTTAATACTGGAGGGACAGGAAGTGCGAGAGAGAGTGTTATTAAAGTCTGGAGACGTGAGAAAGAGAGAGGCAGATCAAAACATGGAATTCAATAGGGTGTCCTTTCTTTTTCATATGACTGTATATATATTTTTTATTTTATTTTTTTTTTTTAGCAGAAATCTTTAAGCAATCTGATACAAATTTAAGATATATGTCTAATGACATATAAAGAAAAAGTCTAATGTAAATGTGTACTTTTTTTTTCTACTGAAAAAACAAATCATAAAAACACAGTTTAAGTTAGTTTTTTTTTTTTTGCATTATATAGTCATACTCTGGGCTGAGAAAGAGAGAGGCGTTTTGAACAAAAACTTGAAAAATTGAGAGAACAGGCAAACGTGCAGGACAAGTTACATTTAAAGGGATAGTTCACCCAAAAATGAAAATTAGCCCATTATTTACTCACCCTCAAAGCATCCTAGGCGTATATGGCTTTCTTCTTTCAGACGAATCCAGTTGGCTTCTGAGCGGCGCATGCGCAAAGCCGACCTCATACGTCATCCTCCCAAAACTGCTTCCGTTTACAACAGTGAGCGCAAGCTAGATTAGTGATTATTACGTTTTAAAAATTTTTATTTTTCTTACAAAAACGCATGGATTCGCTACAGGAGGCCTTTTTCACCCCCCGGAGCCATGTGAGGCACTTTTTATTATGGATGGATGCGCTTTATTTCACTTCTTTTGGACTGATGCACTGCAACACCCGCTGACTGCCATTAAACAGCTTGAAAGATCAAAGACAATTTTTAATATAACTCTGACTGGATTCGTCTGAAAGAAGAAAGTCATATACACCTAGGATGCCTTGAGAGTGAGTAATTCATGGACTAATTTTCATTTTTCGGTGAACTAACCCTTTAAGTTTCAATACTTAGGGTTTGAGATTTTGCTTCAGTTGCCTAAAAATTACACTTTCTATGTCTAATTTCTACAAAATTTCTCACAATAGTGAGAGGACATGAGGGTGGCTGGAGTGATATGGGTTTGGTCTTTATAACCACCACCTCTATAAAAAGAGGATGAGGCTTTTCATAATATCTGTCATTAGTTGGGAAAGGACAGGCGTAACATTGAGGCCTGACAGTTACAGTGTTCCCACAGGCCGGCTCCATCTGCTCCGCCTGTGGGTCTCATGCTCTCCTCAACGCTTTGCTTCTCACACTTGAAAAAAAGTACAAGATCACACATCCTACTGTAAAGGATTATACTGTCATCATTTACTCACAGTATTCCTTCCATGGAGCACAAAAGGAGAAATTTTGAAGAATGTGCTGGTCACTCTTTTCCATTCAATTACCATGAATGGAGACTGAAGCTTTCAAGCTTAAAAAAAAGTATCATGTCGGCGCTGATAGCCTTGTGGGCAGCGCTTGACATACAGTGCCGCTGCGCTACGGGTGTCCCGAGTTCGAATCCCGGCTCGTGGACCTTTACTGATCCCACCGCCTCTCTCTTTTTCCCCTATTTCTTCCTGCCACTACACTGTCCTATCTAAAATAAAGGCAAAATGCAAAAAAAAAAAAAAAACAAGTTTCATAAAGCTAGTCCATGCAACTCATACACTATATTCCAATTCTTCAGATAGCTTTGTGTAAAAAAAAAAAAAAAACACAGACAGAAACTTGGGTCAATATTAACTGATAACCCTAATTGTATTGAACATGCACTTGTAGTGTACTTCAAATTTTAAACGAGTATTTAAAAAAGAGATAATATTAATGAAATAACAGGCCACTTAAATATATTTAAAGAGAGACACTTTCATGACTGTTTCTTAACACACTTAAGTTGACTTTTTAAAAATGCAATTTGTAAAAATGTCAAATTTATATAGTAATTGATTATACATTTTAACTAGAGTGTTATTCAATACAATTACTTATGAAGTTATAATATATTTTAAATGTACTAAGTTTAAATAGTAATGACATTCAATTATATTTTACTTTATCATAAATCCATGTCAGTACACTTTAACCATATTTCAAAGACGATAGAAGTAATTATGAAATTACATATAAAGATGTGGATTTAAAGTTCAACTAATTGCATTTACTCTACATTTAAATTAAAAAACGTTTGCATTTAATTGCAATTAACATTCAAAGAAGTGTCCAAAAGCAAAAGTTCATTTTTTAAGCATATTATTTCTGTAATAATTAGCCTTTAAAAGTAAGCTAAAGTGTACTATTTCACAAGGGAATATTCCCCTCAAATGAGCTGTTAACCTCCAAAACCAGATCACTGGGTTTGTGGGTTGAGATCCAGATCAGTCTGATTCAGTTTTGTGACAAGAATCATTAAAATAGCGAATCACTAAAAAGATCCAATTTAAAAGCCTGGTCTGTTCATCAACTGGAACATCACTACTTTTCACATGAATGCAAAACTAATTAAATTTCCTCAACCAAATGGCATCAGAAGACTTGGTATTTCTCATGCATATTTTTATGGTGCAATATCATTTTGGAGCTTGACAGTCCCACTCACTTTAATCAAAGCAAAAAGAGTGACCAGGATATTCTTCAAAACTTCACTTTTTGTGTTCCACTGGAGAAAGAAAGGTTTGGAATTACATGAGGGCGAGTAAATAAGTTTCAGTACTGGGTGAATGATAGCTTTAAGATCTCTCCTCAAGTGCAGAAACCTTTGTGTAAACCTATTCAAACACTGAGAATGGCTTACATTTTAGGAAGGAGAATAAACAAACTTCCCTTGTTTGGCCATATTTGGTACATCAGCAACTTCACGCAGAACTGCACAGCAGTTTTTCATTTCCAGCCGCAGAATGAAAGAGGGATTTCAGTGTGTGTACCACACACACACACACACACTATTTGACTGGGATAAAACTAATTCCACCTGCATAAAGCTGTTCCACCATTGCTGTTTCGTATTAAACAAATAAATTATTCAAGCTGTGCATCTTCTCAAGTGCAGAAACCTTTGTGTAAACCTATTCAAACACTGAGAATGGCTTACATTTTAGGAAGGAGAATAAACAAACTTCCCTTGTTTGGCCATATTTGGTACATCAGCAACTTCACGCAGAACTGCACAGCAGTTTTTCATTTCCAGCCGCAGAATGAAAGAGGGATTTCAGTGTGTGTACCACACACACACACACACACTATTTGACTGGGGTAAAACTAATTCCACCTGCATAAAGCTGTTCCACCATTGCTGTTTCGTAATAAACAAAGGGGGGCATACTACAGGACTTTTTGCTGTGAATTAAATGTCAATAACCAGCCTGAATGTATGATGGTGTGTGTTGACATTAACATGAGTAAATATAATTTGACCAAGTAGTATTTGTTACTGTAACAATATCCCTGTTAACCTGTTAATCAGATGGTAGCTTTCTGAACTGAGTTCAGGGAAAGCTGGAAGTCAGGATTAGAGACAGGATTTGGGATGGTGTTGAGTTTAGGGATAGAGGTTAGGACTAGATTTGTTTTTCTCCAGTCAACAACAGATATTGATACAGGAAGTCGCCCTACCTGGTAATTACATAGTGTACATACATATATGTACAATTAATAATTTTATTCAGCAAGGACACTTTAAACGGATCAAAAGTGACTGTAAAGGCATTTATAATAAAGGTCAATCAGTATATCACCAAGACTGATATATCAGCCAATATTTGGCAGTTTTTTGTTCAGCCAAAAAGTGTTGGAAGCAGTTTTTTTCTGACAGTGATGGGACTTTTATTTTGACAGCACTAAGAAGGCCAGCACTTGAATGCAGACATGAGTGTACTCTTTAAACCCTTGATTTCAAACAATGCTGCACTATATGCAGTTAGCCGCTGTTATATTTGTGTCATATGTCACTGTGCACAACAATGTAAAATTAGTGTTACCTGGTCTTTATTTGAGAAAATATGACACTTTCTGAGCACACTTACTGTTCTGTTCCTTTTTATTCATTGTTTTTTAAATTTTATTTAAATTTCTTAATTTGTGAAGAACACTATTACTAATAGGATTACAGAATCAAGATGTTGCGAAAGCAAACATCTGTTTATTTTACAGATGTTTACCAAGTGCAAGTAATTTTTTTCATATTGACTAATTTTACAATGATTTCTCATTTAAAAAATCTACATTTCATTGCAGCAACTGTTATGCATGTTATTTAAATATAATGGTATAATATCACATTATATCGGCCACTGGTCACCCTGCTCTCGAAGTTATCGTTATTGACCATCCAAAAAAAAACATTGGTCGAACAATAATGTTGCAAAAGAGGTTTTTGTGACACTGAAGACTGAAGTAATGGCTGCTGAAAATCCAGCTTTGCATTAAAGGAATAAATACAAATTAAATTACATTCAAAAAGAATCCAAAAAAAAACATTGGTCGAACAATAATGTTGCAAAAGAGGTTTTTGTGACACTGAAGACTGAAGTAATGGCTGCTGAAAATTCAGCTTTGCATTAAAGGAATAAATACAAATTAAATTACATTCAAAAAGAAACAGTTATTTTAAACTGTAAAAATATTTCACAATTTTACTGAATTTTTCATCAAAATCTAAATGCTGACTTGGTGAGCAGAAGACACTTCTTTAAAAAAAAAAAATCATACCGACCCCTAAACTTTTGTATGATAGGGTATATGCACACTGAAACTTAGTAGAGTTTGAAAATCGATTGCAAAGACTGTGTATCTTTCAAGTAGACTAAACAGCTGGGTGTGAAGAACAAAACAAAGCTGGAGAAAAGAAAACAGAGAGTATAAAAGACTGAACAAATCTTTTCTTGCCCAAAAGAAATGGAGTCAAGTGGGGCTGCAGGCAGAGAGCCGAGGTACACACTGTTTTCTCCTCTTTGTTTGGCTCTGTGTTACACTCAAAGCAGAGCTGAGAGTGAGCCTGATCCACGGCATCTGACAAAAGGCCACTCTAAGAGCTTAAAGAGATGAAAGAGTGCTCTTAGTGCCGCCGGGCCACAG